AATATTTTCTCGAGCTAATCAACACAAAATTATTTATTTCAATCTTTAAAAAATACTTTTTATTAAACAAAAGCTTATTTGACAAAAAAAATGTTTAATACTGAAAAGCCTCAACTTTTAAGCAGAATAATATTTTCTCGAGCTAATCAACACAAAATTATTTATTTCAATCTTTTAAAATATGATGCTAAAATTTTTCTTTAAATTTATTTTTTATTAAATTTTTTTTTGAATTGCAGTATAGTTTAAAATTTATTAATGTGTTGAGGAGTTTAAAAACTTAACTTTCAGTCATTATTTATACTGTTAAGTTGAAAAAAGTTAAATATATAAATTTGCAGATTTTTTAAATTTCTTTTACCATTTTTATGTCTTTTCATGTTAAGCTTTTTTGCGTACTTGCATTCTTTTTTAAGTAAAAATAAAACAAATATATATATATATGTATATAAAAGTATTTTTATTTTGACATGAAAAATTTTGTTATTTAAAAAAATATTTTTTTAACGTTTAATTTACGTTTTTTGTAAACATTCGTTTTCGAAAAATATATAAAATTATTAAAATTATTTCATAGAATTTTTTGATATTTTTCACACATTCCTCAAAATAATTATATTCAAATTTTTCATTTTTCAGTTTTTAAATTTTTTTCAAAATAGTTTTTTCGTATATTTTATTGCCCACACAGTCTTCATATTTGAATATTTTATACTCCATAATTTTTAAAATATACATTTTTTTATTATTTTAAAAATCGAATTTTTCGAATATTTGATGCGCATTTTATTTGCTCCATATATCTTTCAACATAATTATATTTATATTTTTTAATTTTTAAAATTTTCAAAATAATTTTTTCGAATATTTATATATATTATTCCATAAACATTTTTTTCTCTACACCTCTTTCCAAATATCTATATTCATATTTTAAATTTTATAATTCTTTTGAACTTTTTCAAAAATCGTTTTTTTGAATATTTTATTTCCTACACAGCCTTCATAATTATGAATTATTATTGTCAACATACCTTCTGACACTGTTTTTAGAAACTGCAAATCCGCTAAGCGTATCCAAATGGCAAAAGTATCCAGTTGTTAGTGATTTATGAAAGTTTCTCGACTTTTCAGATATCAAAGCAAATTGTATTATTTTTCAAAAAAAAAAATTTCAAAACACTGTTTGGTACTTTTGAGCACTTGTAGTTTGCGAAATTTCACAATATTTTCTTTTTTTGTATTTTTATCAAAAATTATATTTTTTCGACTTTGTTGTTGCACAGCAAGGATGCGGCACTTATTTGCAGTTGTTTTTTTATATATTGAGATTGCTCGTTTTTGCTTGATTTTCGTTTTTGTTTTGTATTGCACTGCTTTTCGTTTTATATACGGAATATATATTTATGTATATATATATGTATATTTTGAAAACACTTCAAAGGAGTCTCGACACACAGCAGCCAGCAAATGGTGTGAGTATTTTATTTTGTTGCACGTTAGTTTTGACGTACCGTTACGATTTGCCACAAAAGCGCACATTCACAACACAAATATTGATGGTTTTTCTGAGTTTTTTTTTCTAGCAAACACTAAGCAGGGATGCTTTTTTGGAAATTAATTTTTTTTTTGCACGTTTTTAAAAGTTTTGCTTTTTTCAGTTGAAAAAACTGTGTGTGGACTTGCAGCGAACGTTTCGAGCGTTGTTACCACATCAATTGCATCATGGGCAATGACTTTGAACCTGTAAATTTGTCTCTTTTATGCCTTCATCAAAGGTCTCCAACGCAGCGTTCGTACCACAGTCAGCCAGCCAAGCAGCCAGGCAGCCATTCAGCGCCCGCAGCCAGTGAGTTGGCCCCAAAATAGCTAGCCAAGCAAGTCAAATAGCACGCTCGGCTAAGAAAATGCAACAACAAGCACTATAAGGAATAGCGAGAGCGCAGAGTCGCAGTTAGCGAAGAAGCAGCGCGATGCTTTTCTTGCGCCTGGGCTGACAAGGAGAAAGCAACGGAGAGTTAAGTTGGTAAAAGTGGCAGCGCGCAGCACAAGAATGGCTGTGAGACGAAGCAGCAAACGCACAAGAACGCTAAAAGCGGCGCACTCAGTATGCGCTCTCGGAAAGCAACGCGGCGCGCGTGCTACTGCAGTGGCGGTGAGAAAGTCAGCAACGGCGGCTTGAAGAATTGACTTCAACAGCAAAGAAATTGCAGAGACACCAAAGTAGACAGAAAGAAAAGAGTGTTAAAGTAGCATAGAGCGCGCTTTTGTAGAGCCGTGTAGAGTTGAGAAAATAGTTGTGAACGGTGAGCGTGCCGCTCAGCGGCTAATTGCAAGCATACTGAAACGCATGCGTAGCGTATGTAATTATAGTAGAAAGCTGTGTTTGAGCTAGAAATATTAAGCACAAATAGTTTTGGAGACTTTCTGCATTCAAGCGCTGAGCGCAATGAGTAGCCAAGCTGCTTAATAATAAGCACCGACTCTCTAATTAGAAGAAAAACTTTGCGCTCATTTTATGCGCGATCATGCTCGCTCTCCATCTCGCATTACCATTGCGCTCTCAGCATTGAACTTGAATCGCGGAGCGTAACACTGAACTCTAGCTGGTGCTCACCTTCGCGCGACTGCTATGAGCTGCTGACAAGATCAAGGTTACTCCATAGCGTCTTCCAGCCAAACGTCAATGTTGCATGCCGCATATTTGACTTGGCAATTGTTTTAACAGCAGCTTAACAGCAACAGTGTGTTGTGGAGCGCGCTGTTTGCTATAGAGTGCGCTATTTGTTGTGGAGAGCGCATAGTGTTAAGCAAACCGGTTGTTGTTGGTTAAGGCATCGCGACAGCAGCGTGACTTCGGAGCGGCTCTACAGCAAATATTTCACTGCAATATAGTTGTTTATAAATGCTTCGGTAGTTGCTATGGCATTGGCATTTGTTGCTAGCAATTATGGTGGGCAACATATGTGGTTGTTGGATGGCGCATGTGTTATTCACACATACATATGTATTTTAACTATAATTTTTTTATACCGAAATCTCATCATCATCTGCGCTTGGAATTTTTGTCACTTATAGCTTCTAAATCACACTAAACCAAAAGGCTTGGCAACGAGCTCGATTTTTTGCTTGATTTTACACATAAATTTATCTTAGATTCTCATTATAAGTAGTTGACATAAGAGAATTGTAGTTTTTTTTCTATTTGATTGCAAATATACGCCCCGAATTCTAAACCAAATAGGGGATTTGTCTGTCTATGTCCAAAATTTAGTTTTTAACGATTTGCCAGCTTCAATAAGGTTGAATTAATTCTGACAAAACATTGGATTTAAAATACCCACAACAATGAAGAAGATTTATTAATGGGTTGATCTCGATGGACATGCTTAAAATATTTTACATACGCAGTACATATTTATTCGAACCACCGAATTGGAAAGATAGCTAAGAGGTGACATGAAGTTATCCTGAACTCGATACCCTAAACATGCCAATAGATGGTAGAGAAGAAGATAGTCATGAACTCGATACCCTTAACATAACCAATAGATGGTAGAGAAGAACCAAGTCCAAATTATGCTTGTTCGAACTAGAGACCTGGAAAGATAACTGAGAATTCCCTTGAAGATATTATGAGCTCGATACCCGAAACATAACCAATAGATGGTAGAAAAGAACAGAGTTCAAACTAAAGTTGATTAAGAGAGATAATAATGAGTATACCATCTATACCGAAAAAATATCTGAGATCCGTGGAGAAGCTCATGTAACTGATGCCTTAAAGATATTACGAACTCAATATCCTAGGCGTTACCAATAGATGATGTTAGAAAAGAACAAAGTAAAGTAAACTAAAGTTGCTCATGCAACTAAAGCTTCAGTTGCGACCGATGTGCTATTAAAAAAGATAAAGCGGTAATGGATGAGCCGGTATTGACACAACACCGGTCTAAAACCTACTGGTAATTCGGGTAGATTTATGACACAAGCCCTATATCATGGAAGTCGCTGAAAAACGAAAAGTAAAGACGAGAAAAAATTAAAAATAGTAAGATTATTCGAAAGAATCATAAAACTCCGAAAAAAGATATGAGTGAATATGATGACGCAATAAATTTACATACTTACTTTTTTGTACAGCCAAAGTGGTCAAACCGAAATGAGATCTCTTTATTAGTTCTTAAGTTCCAGACTCTGAAAGTAAATTATGCACAAACGGGAAGAAATATACAGAAAACACAAAAGCGCTCTTACCCTCTGATCAAAAACAATAAACCGATCGACTTAGACGAATTACAAATATAAAAAAAAAAACCTATGAAAACCTATCAACCAGAAACCTCTCAGCTGAGTATGGTCCGATGAGTTTTTTGGAAAAGTGCTCTTCGTTGAACAAATCGTTCAGAATAAACTTCAGATCTGAACCGACCGACTAAGAATTGTACTACAAAAAAAGATGGAATCTATAAAAACCGAGCAGCCAGAAGCATCAGAGCTGAGCTCGATGATCAGTGATGAAAACAACACCAGTCTATAATCTACTGAGAAGTCACAAAACTTATGAGGGAGCCCATTTTTTAAAAAAAAAAAATTTACAGACTAGTTTCTTTGATCGGTGAAATTAGTCAGACAGCAGTGAGCTCTCTGTCGCAGCTTAAATGATCCACGCACTAAAAAGAAATGAATGACAAAAGGGCAGAAATTTACTGAAAAGACATAACTGTGTTTCGATTTTCTGATAACACACGATGAACCGACCAACTAAAACGAAGTAGAAATATAAAAGATATGGAAACAATAAAACGTGTCCTTCGTTGGTCCGCTGAAAGTCAATCATAGACAAAACGGAAGAAATCTACAGAAAACACCACTGCACTCTTTTTTAAAATACGATGGAATCATGCAAAATTCAGCAGCCAGAAACCTCTATAGACGCACAATTTTCTTCGAAAAGTGCACTCTGCTGGCTTTTATGTCCGCAGTTTTCAAAATATTGTTAAGTGGATAACATAATGTATTTCGAACTAAGCTTTTATCCTTCAGAAGCAACTCTAGATCTGGTCTTTTTCGACCAAACTTTAGGCCTTTGGAACTTAATTTACTTTGGAAGCAAAAATAATACAATAAATACTTCGTTAATGTCTCCGGTCGAATCCATTAGGCTATATGTGAATTATAAACGAGCCCAACCCGCGCAAGGTCACTTTCAGTTGTTCTAAAACCAATGCAAGAATCACTGCACATTTCTAGACTTCTGTCTTCTCTTAATAATGACATGTCTTTATTTACGTATTTCTGCTTTTTTCTTCGCTATAAAATTGATTTTCTATTTCCTTTCGCTATCACCCTCTCGCTTCTTATCTCTCTTTCTCTACCGGCTTTACTCTCTACATTCACTGCTAAACTCGCCAACTCACTAATTACCTCTATCGATGACAACTTTTTGCGTGATTTGCCAAAAAGTTGTTAATATCAGTAAAGCAACTCATGCCAACAATAATTTTATGACATTTTTCATCTAACTAAATACTTTCATTACAGTTTCGCGCCATTTAGCGCCTGCTTCTTTAATGCGTTTTCTCAGCAGCAGCAGGTGACAATTCCCTCAGTCTGCCGGTATTTTTTATTTTGCCCACGGTTGTGGTCTAAATTTAGAAATTTCGTGCAAGCGTTTAGAGAAGCGTGTGAATTATTGAAGTGTTGCCAAAATGAGATTTTTAGCACGCGTTTATTGTGGAAAGTGGTCAGTCTCGGAAGAAGAAGCAGCAATAATAATAATATTATATTAATGTAACAGGTTAAGAATAATATAATACACATACATATATATATATACATAAAAGCATTAGTGAATCGAAAATATGTGACAACAAAAGCAAACACTTCAGCTGTTGTAAGACTTCGGCAGAGTGTTACGAAGAACAAAGTGTCATGACACCTTTTTTGCACTGGAATTTATAGTATTTCAGCGCAGTTAGCAGTATTTGCTTGTTTATTGACGCTTTAGCCCTAAACTGTAACATATTTTAATCACATTTTGTTTTGAGAAACATTTATGGCTTTGAAAACTGATTTTTATATTTTTATAAATCGCTTGAGCATTGTTAAACGTATGAAGTTACAATAATAACATTTACAAATAGCAGGGGCTTCAAAAAATAGTTTTTGATGTTTTATAAATCGGTTAAAAATTGTAAAATGCTTAAAATTTCAAGAATAACGCGTTGTTATTACATTTTTTTATGCCAGAAAGTTCATATCAGAGATAAAGAGATGCCCAAATCGTCTCTCACTGGAAATGAGAGCGCAATTGATAAACGTCAAAACCTATTGAACTCAAGCAACTGTCAAAGTTCAGTAGGTCTGACGTTTAGCAATTGGAAAAAGAGGGACGGCCAGATTAAAATCCTACAGAAAAATATGTAAACAGAGAGATTTGTGCAGCTGTTGAAGATCACTAACAAAAATTGGAAAACAATGAAAGAAAACGCGAAATTGAAATGTATGTGATGATATATTTTGATGTCATGCTAAGTGGTATTGATTTTTAATTGAAAATTTTTAAAACCATTTATTAATTGAGAGCTAATACATTTATTCTTTTGATTACGTATTGAAAGTTCAAAAATCAATTGTTTAATATATCACAAAATCACAAAAAAATAGTATAAAAAGTTTCTGCATATGTTTAACGGATACATATATAATAATATTTAA